CTGTTAGTAAAAAAGATTGCTTCATTTGTATTCCCCAATTTCCTGAGCTGTGTACAGAACTGTAACTTCAGCAAGAGCTGGAAAAACTAAGAAGACAACTGTTGCTGTTGCACCTACATTCGTCTGTGCTAATCGTGCTGAGAAGAGAGGAGAGGTACACGTGTTATTTCGTGGCGCAATATCATGATTGATGTTTGGATTTAAAGAGTCAGTTGAGTAATCAAAACATTGTTGATTCTTCAGTTTTACACAAAATTAGAAGAGAAGCGCAAGGCTTTGGAAGTGGAGAAACTCCAAGCAGAGGCCAGAAAGACGGTAAGTCTGCTATGGTTTATTGGTATTGCCTGAATATTGGTGTCTGTTTTGTTTTCTGGCATCATGAAGAGCATCCTTTTTTTTTCAAAATTACTAGTCCTAATGCATTGGAAAATATAATTGCATTCTTATAAGCACTGGAATTAGAATTTTGGAGTAACTTTGTTTAACCTACCTTTTTCCTCCACTTTTTGTGGTATAAATATTTTGAACTTCACTGAGCTCACTTTTTTTACATGAGTCGCGTCGTGTCTTGTCTTGTCTCTGACTTACTGAAATGCTATCTGTTCGAGGTTTTGGAAACGATCAGTATAGCAATTTTTGTTATTTTCATCTTGCTTGGTTAGTGTGGTAAAAAGCAAGAAACAAGACAATTTCAGATATGTTTGAAGCCTTGAAAATAGTAACTTTATGAGGTTTTGCATGTTGCTTCTTTGTCCAATCAATATAGTTAAATTGGTTAAGCCTCTTCTTGTATAAACACATGCACTAAACTTTAAGCTTGTGAAATTATAGTTGTTTCTTGTGTACATGAGTTGATTTGTCTTGGTAATGAATATTTTGTCCCGCAAAATCTGATATTTTTATTGGGAAAAACTATAGCGCCTGGTAACTTTAGGTACTGGTATTAGAATTGCTGAGGATGCTTTTATCTGAAGCCTGCTTACTCTTAGTATATTGTTACTGCACATAGACCTCACTTGATTGCCTTAGCTATGCTTCTGCCGTGTCACTCGTACATGCATATTTGATGCCTCCTGTAAACATCATTACACTTGCACGTTTTTATCAATAGTCTAACTTATGAAAATCTTTGTTATCTGGCCACCAAGACGACGAAACTCCTTACCAAGCCTGCTTTATGATCCTCTTTTTGATTAAATCTTTTTGGGTTAACTAAATTTGCCATTATTTCTCTTTCTTGTCCTTTTCTTTTTTTCTAGGAAGAGGAAGAAGAAGCTCTAAGACAACTGAGGAAGAACTTGGTCGTCCGAGCAAAACCCATGCCAAGCTTCTACCAAGAGGGACCCCCACCAAAGGTTGAACTTAAGAAGGTAATGTGTTTTGTGTTGTCTGCTATGTTATTTTAATCAATTAACTTTTTTTTTGCATTGTTCAATTGATATTTACATTCTGAAGGAAATCTCTAGGTTTTCAATTAGTTCCATAAGTTATTCTGCTGCATCAATTCCTTAGATTTTCTTCATAATTTCATATTCATTTCTCGGGTGGTGTTCCATCGTCTTTATAGCTCCAGTTTTGTGTTTTTACTTTGTATATTGCTTTTCTTTGGGTGCCAAGACACTAAAGTCAGGGTTAGGGGGATCCTTATCCAATTTTGTTACTTTGTGTTCCTGATTCTTTATATACCTCACATTAACATATAGTGTCTTGATATTTTTGTGCAAGGAAAATATGCTTGAAACAACATGATTCCTCGGTATCCAAATGCATGACGTTATTGTCCTTGTATCTGGCCATAATTGAAAACTTCAATTTTCTGGACACATAATTGTCTCTTTTCATTTGATTCTCCCAAAACAAATGATTGCCGTTTTCATCATCGACTTGGTCAGCAGAAATGTAATTTTTTTCCCACTGAACAAACTTTGTAATGTTCCTACTCCAATACTCATATAAATCACCAAAATGAGCATAAGTTGTATATACAATCAGTTTAAAAATGTCTTACATTGATTTATACTTGTAACCTATTGATTAAATTAATGGAAAGCTGTATAAGCTTGCCTACTTTTAGCATGTACTAGTGCAAGCCTTCATTTTTTGCCTTTTCTTTTGCAGGTGCCTCCAACTCGTGCCAAGTCACCAAAACTGACACGGAGAAAGAGCTGCAGTGACACCCCTCATACACCAGAGGGAGGAAATGGCAGTGCAGTATGCTGCCGGCTGCATCGTCACAGCATTGGGAACTCCAAAGATGTTAGCAGTAAGGCACAATGTTCTCCAAAGAGTGCTTCAAAGACTGGATCAGCTACTAAATCCAGGGTCACCAAATCCAGGGAAGACCTGAAGGCTTCCATGAAGAAAGTGGGACAGCCAAGCACCGCAAACTTTGCTGTACAAACCTAACTCATGAGGCAGTCACACCCATGCCATTTTTCATTTTAATTTATACCTCACATCACCAAAAAGATGGCCTCATGCCCCGACAACAGTGTGTTTGTTGCTGGATTATTTTTGCATTGTCCTTGTAAGAACCTGGCTACCAGAGAGACCATTGGCTGTTCCGTCTTGTAAATTTGTTGAAGGTTTTGTATGGGGTAACCGAGTCAGTCCTGTGAGAACCAGCGGGCAGCCGATGAGCTGTTGGAGTGACATATTGTCATTGTGTGGCGGCATTCGCAGATCCTATGTATTGTATCTGAGCTGTAACTTATTGTGGGCATTGGCAAAGTGATTCTGATTGTTGTCGCAAAATTTGGTCAGGTCATGTTTCAATCAGGTACCCTTATATGAATTGGAAACTGGGCTGTGTTTTTTTTCTGTCCGAAACTTGAAACAATAACATGATAAAGGATCAGTACTTGCTGTGACCTTTCTGAAAAGTACACAGGTGGTTCACCAGTTCTGTAAAGATGACGGCAGAGTGCTCGAGTGGTGAGCAGCCGGTGAGTTCAAGGCTTCTCGTCTCACGTCTCCCACCGGGGTTTTCCTCCAATTATTTTTCAGGGTAGTGGATGCCTCATACGGATGGACTATAACTGTCATATCTCTCAGTTGTGTTCTAGTTGACCTAGATATAGGTTGTAGATTTAGGTGTGTGTGCGTGTGGTGTTGTGGTGTGAGTTGGTGTGTGTTTAAATACTACAATTTGTATCGAAGGTCGAGGCAATAAAAAAAAATCGATATTTTCTGGCAACATTATTCAATTCTGTGAATACCAGTTAATCCATCAGAAACCCACCACCATGATATCTGCAGGTGTCGAAGGCAGCTGCAATTCAACCGGTGTAAGCTGTAGAAGAACATTGAACATGGAAATGGAAACACAAGTTTTCAACGCGAGAGAAAAGGAGTGATTTGCGCACTTGATGTAAGGTGGTGACCATCAAGTTTGCACGATTTGGTCGGCAAGATCTGACTTTGTGCAAATTGACTCTGTAAGCTGCCACATTTTTCTCCCGTCTTTCTACTGATGTGAGCTATTCGAGGAAGCCATGCGAATGGCTTACCATGCATGCACGCTACCGGACGACATGAGCAGCCATCACACGTGCTCACTTTGGAGTTGGGACTATTGATACTAGTGTTATATGCCAGAAACCACGGGCCGGCTGAAAATGCTCATGTAGAGTGCGCTATGGAGGAAAGCCGCACCAAAAAAGAGCGAGAACTCTAAAAGAGTGGAGTACATTGCTAGAATAAATCATCACGGCAGTTGTTTTTTTTCTTTCCAAAGAGAGGCACCAAAATTACGAAGAGCATTTTGAGTTGCACTGCTGGGAGTAAATTCCCAGTAACTGCGGATAGATATAGTTTACAAGAGCTTGACGTCAGTAAAAGCGATCTTACTCTATCAGGTTCCAAGAAAAGTAAAGCAAGCCCAAAGGAGCAAGTAAAAATGAATGGAGAGAATAGTTACAGACAACCCAGAGACAGCAAGCCACTGTCAGTAAAAGCTTAACAAGCGAGTTAGGCCCTCGCCATTATGCTGTCGTGCACGCTTGGTCGATGGGCATCCAGCCTTTGCCTCCAATTAGGCTGTGATTTGACATTTGCTTCGCCTGCCACGAGTGCGGCCGGTAAATTTGAAGCGCCTTTGCTTCTGAATGTACGTCTCCTCGATTAATCTAATCACGAAGCTAATCATCCACGTGCACTGCCACAGCGGCACCAAATCTTTCTCCGTGCACGGTGATGTCTGCAACTTTGGAACTTTTAATTGGAGGTCGATCTCTCTGGTTCTCTGGTACGGTAGATGTTCTAGAAGAACTCTTCATGCATGAGAGGGTCATCATATATATTTATTATCACTGTAAGGATAGTAGAGTTCTTGCAATGAGCCAATTGCATTCACTGAACACACTGACACACTCCTCCCTTATAACCACACCAGTGTCAGTGTCTCAGTGGCGCTGAAGCTGCACTCGTAGACTGTGGTGGATGGACAGAACGTACGTAAGCTGAAGAAACTGAGCTGCTGGACTCCGTTGACACCATGTGTCCATTCTCCTTTTCAGCTTTGACATGAACACAAAAAGGGCACTTGCTTGCGCGCTACACCTACTGACCTACACGCACGGACCCATTTTCCTTGTTGCTTCCCAGGAAAATTTTGCGTACGACACAGCTAACTGAGGACGACAGTCAGTCACACACCCTGGTAGTCTTGGATCAATATCATCCATTGACAATTCAGGAGAGGGCTTTCCGACAAATCGTTCCCACGCCAAGTCAAGTTCCAAGGCAGAACGTCTCTCCATCTATGCATCTGCACACTCTCCACTAGTGCACGTCACACACACCCATTAGTCCATACATCGTGCTGTGTGTACAAATGCATCCACGACGCATTCATGTGTATATATAAATATGCATCTGATGGAAAGAATGCGTGGCCAGCTGCCCAGCTGGTTTAGGCACGTAGCAACAAGACTACAAGAGCTCTGCGTTCAGGGAAGCTCTCCCTCGTGCTGAGCGTTTCAGTTCAGTAGAATCGGATCATGAGGCAGCTCGTCGCAGGAGTTGCAATCCTGCTCCTCTTCCTCGGCTCCGGCGTCGTGACAGCGTCGGTGGCGGCGCGGTCGGCGCCGGTGGCGAGTAAAGGAGGCTCAGGCTCGGCAGTGGCGCAATCCGAGACGATGGCGGCAGCGGCGGCGGCCGACAGCTCGGCTCAGCCGTCCGGCTGCACTAACGGGAGCGGCCCCGGCGGCTACTGCCACCCTCCCTCGGAGCATTGACCATTGTTCAGCTGCCGTTAGCATCGGGGAATAATACGCACATGCTAGCTTAATGCTTATGGTCACTTAGTATTATTTATCAATGTATGATCACGTACATACCGTTCATATGGAGTATAGGGGAAAGTGTTACTAGAGCCACAACCAGTCACCTACCACGTACGTGTTCACCATGATTTCTATGTGATCTCTATTGCCTCTGATTTATGAGGCACACTGCACCTTTAATTAATTATGTTCTTTTTAAAGTGCTTATTTATGAATGAAATTTTGTTATTCACACTGCATGGGGTTGATTTTGTTAGGATGATCTCCACCAGTTGGCCCAACGGCCAATTGGGCTCTTGATCTGCGTCCTGATCGGGGGCGCTCAGCCGGTTCTCCTGGCTGATGGCCCCCCGTCGCGTAGCGCCATAAAAGGACGGTGGGGGCTGGGACACAAGATATGAGGTCACCGGTAGCCGCCAGCCCTACCCCGAAGTTCCTAACCCTAGACCGATCGAGAGGGGCGCTTTGAGCGGCGGGAAGCGCCATCCCCTTTGCCGCCACTATGGCACCGCACCTACACTGCTGCTGCGTTCGACGACCTAGCGGGCGCCTGCACGGCTTCCCCTACTACGACTCCAGTGGCCATGTCGCGGTGGCGCCGTGGCCGTGACTGCGCATGGCGAGGTACATCACCAAGTCTCCCATCTAAGTTAAGTCATTACTCGCTAGATGTGCACCTAGAGGTCCTACAAATCCTATCGATGCTACCGGAGCCAGGTTTTCTAGGGTGTAGATCTAGACCGAGAAGGGGGGGGCTCACATGAGCTCCTCCACCGCTATAACCACCGCCGTCGCACGGGAAGAAGACCGCGCCGCCGCTTCGACGGCGCGCGGGAAGAGAGCCGCACAGCACCGTCGCTACTTTTCCTCTGTGTGCACGGGGACTCCGGCCTAAGGGCACCGCTATGAGACCATTCGATGGAGCCGCATGACGAACGCACGCGAGCTCCGGCGAAGGGATCCATGACGGCGCCACCATGTTCCACCTCAGAAAGAAAGGAGGTGATTCGATTCGATTCGGATCAAACCCTAACCCTAACCCTAACCCTAACCCAATAGAAGTCAAAGTGCGGGAAGAGACCCGAGCCGCAGGCCGGGGAGGTCACGCCATCGCGCGGCCCTCTGCCTTAAGCTCGGGGTCAAGGGCAACGTCGCAAGGCCGCTCGACGGCGGCGTGCTCAGCCTTGGGCGAGCGCGCTTGTCGGCGAGGGGCCCCATGGTGGCGCCACTACTTCTTCCCTGACCACCATGGTCGGCCGCTGCTGTGATGCGCGCGGCGTAGAGAGAGAAAGGGGAGAAGCGAATGAAGTTAGGGTTTCAGGGAGAGCCTGCCGTGGGTGGTTTTGATCCGCTAAGATGGCTGGGCAACCGTCCGATTGCGATCGACGGCTCAGAGCGAGTTAGGCCGGATTCAACCTAGGCGGGCGAGTGAATTCTCGCCCAGCCCAGTTTACTGGCTCAAGGCGTGGGGAAGCGCTACAGCGCCGTGCGCGAAAGTGGGTCGCGTCTTTTTCTTGCTTTCTGAAATTGGGTCGCGATTTGCTTTCCCCAGTGCCGCCAAATGAACGATGTGCCGATTTAAGTTTTAATCTTTTTCAGAAGCACATTTTGATGAATTTGTTTTAATGTTTGATCTCTACTCAAATTTGAACCAATAGAATAATTTGTTTAGAGAGTAGATGAGTACAGTAAAATGCTTCTGAAAAGTAGATAAATTATTTTTTCATATTTCAGTTGCGAAGTTAATGCTTATTATCTTCTAATTAAATTCGAACCAACGGGAGAATTTAATTTGAAGAGCAGTTGATTTTGGTTCAATAAATTATGATTATGTTTATCCTCTAATTTAAATTGGATGAGTAGTTCATATTTGTTTATGTTAAATTATGACATTGTTATCTTCTGACCAACGTTGATGATAAGAATATCATAATGAGCTTAAGTTTGAAGTTTAAATCTTTGAAAAAAAATTACACCCACGTGGTCAATTTTTTCAGAGAGTAGATAAAGACAAGAAATGCTCCTGAACTAATAGAATGTATTTTATTATCATGTTTCCGCTGCAATGATGTTGATTATCTTCTAATTAAATTCGAACCAACGAGAGAATTTAATTTTGAAGAGTAGTTATATGTCTTTCAAGTTAATTTATCAGTTTTATGCATTAATTCTATTTTCTGCCCAATGATGTTGTAGAATTGATGCAGAAGCATCTTGTATATTTTATTTTTAACCGATGAGATCACTTGGTTGCATGCCAATGGGCTGCAATGCTGGAATATGTGAATGAAAAGGCTTGAGTCAAAGTCAGTTCAGGACAACTTTTTATTAGCTTACTAATTTTCTGATTAAATTGGAACCAACGGAAAGATTTAATTAAAAAATAAAGTATAAGTGAATGTTTTAGTCGTCATGACTAAATTTTTGTATAAATATATCCCGCATGAGGAGAAGTTTAGCATAGTACTTATGCTAGTCAATCCTACGTGGCAGAAGAAGTTTTGTGATGACTCATATGTTTTTGTATTCAGCATAGCGAGAGAAGTTTGGGTAGCTCTTATGCTATCCTAGTATTAACCATGGCACAATAAAAATGCACCGTCATGGTCAATACTAATCAAAAGACAAGAAAAGATACAAGAATGACTTATAAAAGTACAGTTAATAATAGATCTCGATGAGTTCTTGAAGTGGAACGAAGAAAGTGTACTCATATACGGATCAAGAAATAACTTTGTTTGCACGACGTAATCATGTGAATGAAGTAATCAGTGTCTCCTCGGTCACAGTTTTCTTAAATAGTTCTCGAAATTATGGCAGTAAAGTTTATGCCATATTTCGATGGGGAGAATAGTAAGATCAATTAAGAAAGATACTCTTCATTAAGAGTGAGATAAAGATCAATTAAGAAAGATACTCTTCATTAAGAGTTAGATAAAAATTAATTAAGATGAATGTGACTGTCGGAGGAGTACAACGGTCATAATAACAATACCCCTAAGCAGATAAATAGCTAAATTCCTAAACTTTTTAGAGTTCCAATAGGAAGATAGCGTAGTCAGCCTCAAAGATATAAATGTGATATCTAAAGCGCCATATGAGGTTTTAACAAATTAAACCCAAACAAGAAATTTGAAGGTACACTATCTTTTTTAGAAGATGAGATGATCTGGGAGAGTATGGTATGTGGAGATCTATAACTTGAAGAGAAGCGGGACTGTGTGCCCACTTCAGTGATTCAAAAACAACGAATTTCTTAATACCTGTTGATGTTGTATAACTTATACAACACCTGTTGTTGGCTCTTTGAAGAAGATGAATAATGCAAACAAAGATCTTGTAATACAGGAGCCTATAGAATCAATTGCCTCTTGGCAATGAAGAACAACAACAGCCCCATATGAAAGTGCCAGTAGCTGAGGTCCCACAAGGTCTCAAAGAATTAGTAAACCAGATTTTTCTGATGACTATGAAGTATATGTTAGTGAAAAAATTCAAATTGAGGGTGATCCCACCTCATTTGAAAAAGTCATGAGAAACGTTTACTCATCTAAATGGCAAGAAGCTATGGAAGTTAAAATAAATTCGATGAATACCAACGTTGTTTGGGACTTAGAAAAAATTTCTAATGGAGCCAAAACAGTAGGTTGTAAATGGGTCTACATGACAAAATGTGACTCCAAAGAAAATATAGAAAGATATAAAGTATGACTTGTAGCAAAAGGCTTTACGCAAAGAGGATGAATAGATTACGATGAGAGTTTTCTCTCTAGTCTCATGCAAGGATTCTTTAGAATCAAAATGGTGTTATTGGCACATTACGATTTAGAGTTACATTAGATGGATGTAAAGACAATATTCCTCAACGGGGATTTATATGAAAATGTTTATGTGGCACAACCCAAAGGTTTTGTCGTGGAAAAAAAGAACGTATGGGATGCCGCCTATAGAAATCCATCTATGGGTTAAAACAAGTCACAAGACATTAGTATTTGAAGTTGATGAAACAATGAGAAAGTTTGGGTTTTAAAAGAAAATGAGAAGGACAATAGCGTTTATGCGAAGTTCAAGAATAAAAAATTTATTTTCCACATTCTATGAATAGATGACATTCTACTCATAAGTAGTGATGTTAATCTGTCTTTGTAGAATAAGTTTTATCCTCAAGTTTCAATGTGAATAATCTTGGTGAAGCATCATTGGTTCTAGGAATCGAAATTCACTGAGATAGAAGAAAATAGGGTATTAGGACTATCGCAAAAATATACTTAGAAAAGATTATAAAGAAATAAAGTATGCATACGAGTAAACCTACGCCTGCTCCTATAGTCAAGGATAATAGATTTGGAAACTTTAAGTGTTCTAGGAACCGATATGAGATCGATCAAATAAACATGGTTCCATATGCTTCAGCTGTTGAAAGCTTGATAAATATACAAGTACAATTAAGAACTTACCCTGACGTAGTTTACGTATCCGAGATATTTTGGCAGAAGTCCAGTCTAGATATAGATCATTGGAATGGAGTTGAGAATGTCTTACAATTTTGCAAAGTATCATAGGCCTCATGCTGAGTAAGAAAGAACAAGTACTCTCAAATAGTTGATTGTACAAATGTTAAGTCTTGGCGAGATATGTAGTGAAATCCATAGTAGTTGCTAATACTCGCAGTTGGAGTATTATTATGGAAAAGCTCCAAAGAAACAGTTGTGGTGTCATCAGTGATGCATACCATAGTATAACTTGTCATGAGGCCTCAGGAACAGGCAAAAGGATGTTAAGAAAATTAGTACCCGAATTTAACAATGGTAGTCAACAGCAAATAACCATTTAAAGTAGTTAACTCTTAAGACAACAGGTCAAGTGTGCTGCCAAACACTTTGGCATTGAGTTATATGTTGTACAGGAGAAAATCCAAAATTATTTTGAAAGCATTGAGCATATAAATACCAAGCAAATATTTGCGGATCCGCTTACCAAAGACTGACCACCCAGTGCGTTCAGAGAACACACAGTCGATATGGGTTTACGGAAAAGCCTATGATTTCTAGATACTAAGGGCCTAGTTGAGAATCTGTTTCAAAACAGAGAGGTGCATTGTAGCTGCTTAATCTAGTGGCAACTGATCGTGACAATGAGACATGCTCTATGCACTGATCTGTGATGGAATGGGAAAAACATAAAGTAAGTTGAGTTTAAGTCATAAGGTGAGATCAAGGGGGAGAATGTTAGGACGATCTCCACCAGTTGGCCGAACGACCAATTAGGCCCTTGATCCGCGCCCTAATCGGGGGCGCTCAGCCGGTTCTCTTGGCTGATGGCCCCCCATCGCGCAGTGACATAAAAGGACGGTGGGGGCTAGGCACAGGATATGAGGTCACCGGTAGACGCCAGCCCCACCCCGAAGTTCCTAACCCTAGATCGATTAAGAGGGGCGCTGTGAGCGACGTTAAGTGCCATCGCCTTCGCCGCCGCCACAGCACCGCACCTGCACTGCTGCTGCGTTCGACGACCTAGCGGTCGCCTGCACGGCTTCCCCTACTACGACTCCATTGGCCATGTCAAGTGAGGCGCCATGGCCGTGACTGCGCATGGCAAGGTACATCACCAAGTCTTCTATCTAAGTTAAGTCATTACCCGCAAGATCTGCACCTAGAGGTCCTACAAATCCTATCAGATTTAATTTGTAATTTGAAATGAGCATAAAAATGAGAGTGAGCCTTTTGCAGGATATGACTATAAATAAATATGAGCACCAGACCAACACGTGAAGAATCCAAAAGGTGGGGACTGCTTTAACTGAAGCCTAAACTTCCATCGTCGTAATAAATGAAATATTAATCTATATAATAATATAAGTGTTAAGAGACAGTCAAATGTTTCATGGCTTGTATCTCATTTTCTTCTCCAGTTCATTTTGAGCTTCTTGTTAAAATTTTAGCCTCATTCAGTATTTCCTCAACTTGCAATCTATTAGACCTAAGCATTTTTGGGTTGGGCCGCTAAAAAAGCCCGGTTATATTGGGCCGAAAAACCTACCCATAACCATGCCATGGCGAGTCAGGATGACATTTTTTTGAGCTAGGCCTGGGACTGGGTGGGCCGCCTAGGGGGCTGCTAGCGTCCGCTCATTCGGACAGAAGTTGCGCGCCGGCACTGTTTTTCTTCCTCGCCTCGCCCTCCCCGCAAGGCCCACCCCTCCCTTCGTGGCCCACCTTGCGCACGGCTCGGGTACTGTTTTTCTTCCTCCCCTCACCCTCGTCCCCGCTGCTGCCCACTGCGCCCGTGTGTAGCCTCCTCCTTCCCCTCCCCAGCCCCCACACCCGCGACTCCCCCTTCATGAGCTTGGCCTGGCCGCCGCTGCCGCCATGGTCCCTAACCGCCCGGTCACCATCCCCACCGCCTGGCTTCCCTGCCTCCCCCGACCCCTTCCTTCTAAGCTCGTCGAAGTTGGAGACGAGGGAGGGAGAGAGTTGTTGGAGATGGAGACGAGGGCGGCGCCGATGAGCTCGGTTGGGGGCGCAAGCACGACGGGGCGCGGGTGCGGGCGCGGGCACGGTTGTAGGCCGGCTGGAGCAGGAGAAGAAGGGAGGGAGGGGCACCGTTCAGACAGAGCATCAGGTCCGAACGTTTGGACCCGATGATTCGGCTGCCCACAGTTTTTAGTTGGAAAATATATAAAATAATACTTCGAGTAGAACTCGTCCCATGAATTTTTTTCTGGGTAGCTAGACCTCTGTTCAGACCTTGTCCACTAAGTCTTATTGGCGGGCCAAAACATGACGGGCTTGGACTAGGCTCTTGGACTGGATCGGGCTCAATTTGCTTATCTCTATGATCTATACATATAAAAAAATTGTTTGACGCTCAAACTAATCTTCTTTTGTACAAGAAAAACTCCAGAATTACTCGGTCAAATCCCAAAGAAGAAAACATGCCAACATGGTCAAATCTCTAATCTCCACTCTCCATGTCCCAAGCACGTGATCCAGTCCTCAAAAAAAAAAAAGTGATCCAGTCCTCTCCTGGGCTCCTGCCTCCTGGCTCAGTTGGCTCACGCCCACGGACGGCCCACCGTCAACCAGACCCAGAGTTTCTTAAAAAAAAAAAAGACACAGAGCCCACGCGCAGCGTTCCCCACTCCCCACTGCAGTACAGAGTACGCCGCCGCCGCGCTGTGCTGTGCACCGCCGCCGCCGCCGCACTCCGCACTCCCCCACTCCAGTACAGAGTACGCCGCTGCCGCCGCGCTGCGCCTGTGCCGCTGTGCGGACCATCCCCATCCCCAGCGCGAGCGAGCTGCGAGCTGCATTTCGCACCGAATCGGAGGGGCGAGGTGTGGATCCACCGGCGACGCCGACCATGTCGAGCCGAACACGCCCCGGTTGGTTGAAGAAGCTGAAGCGGATCATTGGACGGCGCATCCGCTCGGGAAGCCTCAGCGCTGAGGCCGCGCGCCAACTCTGCGACGAGGTGCTCCCATCAATCCAAAGGCGTTCCCCACCGCCGGCCGTTTCAGCAGCCGCGCGCCAGTGGAGGGACGACCACCGCCCTTGCTGGGAGCTGGAGCTGTTCATCGGACAGTGTTACCGCTCGGGGGACCTCGGCCCCGAGGACGCACTCGATCTGTTCGATGAATTGCTTCACCAAGCGAGGCCTGGCTCAGTTTACGCCCTAAACCAGCTGCTCACCACGGTCGCTCGCGCCCCGGTCTCCTCCACCGTGCGCGACGGCCCTGCACTCGCCGTGTCCCTGTTCAACCGCATGGCCCTAGCGGGCGCCAAGAAGGTGGCTCATAAAAAGACCCATAAAATGGTTATTTCATCTATATCTGTGTGACACCGTTAAATAGAAAAGATAATGGAATAGTTTGGAGAACAAAAAAGTTTAGAACGATGACACTCGTGGGAGCTCAACTTTTTAATAGTTTGTGTGTAATTTTAAACTTTGTAATAGCACACAGGTAAAAGGCTCTATTTATAGGGAAGGGAGCGAGCGCCCGGGAGACCGTGCGACGTGGGATCGCATGCAGGCAGGACGACGAGGCGAAGTTCGATTGTCACACCGAAAAAAATGTCCACTCTTTAATCTTTTATGCCCTATTCGTTTGGCTGATAAGTCATGACTAAAAGTACTGTTGGCTGATTTGTTGTTAGAGAAAAATACTGTTCGTTGGCTAAAAAAGTATGGCTTATAAGCCAAGCGAACAGGACGTTAGCTGTGAGAGATTGTGAGAGACATATATGCAGGAGATTCCGGTTGTCATTCCGTTTTTTCTCTTGGAATGGAACGTTCCGGTACCAAAGAAGGATACGTCTACGTGGCATTAAGTTGTTTTGGTTCCTCCTATCAACTGAATTCTTTTCTTACACTTACAGAGTCTTCTAGCTATATTTACACTGTCTTAATACTATATTTACAATTATTTTTTCAGTGTAATTTATTGGACACAGTGATGTAAGTTAGGAATAACACAAATATATACCAAATTTTTTTAAAAAAAAATTATTTTTTATGAATTTCAGGCATCAGAGAAATAAATGTCAAATTGTTCACAAATTTTAAAAAATACAAAATCTTCACAAAAATTGAAATGCTTGCAGTACCGCCGCCATAGAGGAAGGTGTGAGAGACATACTCCGAGACATGGTAATGCGCCACATGTGTTTATTGATTCTTCTTTGCGTCGGCATGAGTTGCTACAATCTTCATCATCATCGTTTTTTCTGGCGGGGGAATGGGGCCATACCCGGCTGCACACGCATCGTGGCATCTGCAAGTAGCAAGTCCACCCAGAGAAGAGAAACGCAATCGATCAAATCCAATGCTCGAAGGGTCAGGGCGGACGCCGCATCATCCGACGATCGAGTGGCGACTCTCGTCCAACGCTGGAAAATTTTAAATCATGCGGTTACGTATAGCGTTTCCAAAAAAACATAGTAAACATAATTGCACCAGAGATTTATTTGTATTTGTATTCTTATTGATTGTAGCTAAGGCCAGACATTACCAACAATACACAGCAGGCCCAACGTGTAGCATTCATAGGCCCATCAAGCGAACACCCAACCCACAGCAAGCAGTCTTGGCCTCCCTCAAAAAAAAAAAAGAAGCAGTCTTGGCCGGTTGGCCCTGCTCCTGCCTTATCCATTCAATCGACGCCAGCAGCCCAGCAGCCAGCAGCATAGTTGAGGGGGCGAGCTGCCGGCCGCCGCCATGCGTGATGGGCTGCTCAGCTGCTGTCCTGCCGTGCCGCTGCTGTGCCGCTGTGGGGCGTGCTGCGAGCCTGCGGCTGCTCAGCTGCTGTCCTACCGCGCCATTCCTCGTCTGATTCGCGAGCTCTCGTCGACGCCAACACAGTTGTTGCATCTGAATTTTCTAGTTCCTTTTTAGCTCTTAAATGTTTTCTTGGCCGCTCTTCTACTGCATGCGTGATTGAAAATACAGATATTGCTTCAGTTTCTACGTCAACTGGTCCGCTCTTCTTCGATTTCTTGTCGTACTGCGTGTCATTGTCATGTGTGGCCGGTACCGGAACTGGCGGTAACGCCAATTTCGCCCGGAACGAGCGAGATTGACCGGAATGGCCCGGTATTAGGGCCGGTACGGGATGGAAGCGTTGTCTGTGCCGCTAGGTGGCGGAACGAGATATACCGGCCATTCCGGCCAGTACCAGAATGAAATTGATAACTATGACTTCAATCCCTCTAACTGGCGAGGGAGATCCTGCTGGACCCCCACGTCATGCAACTTCACTTCACAGCAATCAGCCTGTGCTGTGACGTCCCAACGGGGTCGCCCATCGCTGTACGCGTAGGGAAAAAATTCAGTGCATCCTGGATACACACACCGTCAATGCAAACACATCCTGGATGTGGGGGCACGTGTCCACCGATGCCATCCGATGGCCACAGCCCGCCAACCACGGATGAGAGCCTGGAGGCTCGAGCGGAGCACGCGAAAAGCCGAGTAAGCCCAGAAGACGAGAGCGGAGGTTGGAAGCACCAGATGTTTTTGTTTTGTGCATGTCGCGGTAGATTAGGACGTGTATGCACCGGCCCTGGGTGGATATGGTATCCAAGCAATTTTTTTCCACGCGCAGAGGACATCCTACGGCGTACGTTTTCTTGTACGTGCCGCTGCGTGCGGATGGAGCAAAGGTAATTTGTGGAGCAAGAGCAACAAAGGGCAATGTTGCTACACATCCTCGTCTCGCACCTACGGTTCAAACCGCTGAAACCATGAAACCAGCCCAATCCAACCCGTAGCGCTTTGCTGCTGCTGCTGTGTGGAAACACATGAAACCAGACCAACCAGCTCTAAACCGCCATCTACGGGGGCGGGTTTCAGTAACCGGGCAAAACCGAGAGACGAAACCATGGATAAACACCCCTAGCGTCACGGCTTGGCACTGGTGCAATATGAGGTCCTGTTTGTGTCACACCTCAATCCGGAATTTTCAATTTTGGGCGTGAATATAATATATAAATTAAAATAAATTATTTAATGGTTTTTATATAAAAAGATGCCAAGCTTTAATTAGTTTGTTGCTCAATGGATAAATGAAAATGGCTTCATAAAATTTTCCAAATTAATTTTGAAAGGTCCTAATGGCTAGAGGGGGTTGAATAGCCTATTAAAAATTTCTACAACAACACTTAACAAACCGGTTAGACAAATACGAGACGAAGCGAGTGTTGCGCTAGCCTACTAAAAATGCAAACCACCTACCGGTTAGACAATGATAGGCTTATACAATGATTCATCAATTAAGTCACAAGTTAAGCCAACATTACATGTCTCAACATGCTTCTTTTTATTTTGCTCATCAAGCAAAGAAGAATGAGCTTTTTCAAGCTTCTTGTGAGCCTTGCCAAGCTTCTCATGTGCTTCCTCTAGCCTCTCATGAGATGCATTGAGCTCATCAAAGGCTTGCTTAAGGGTTTGTAGTTCCTTACGCAAGATTTTATATTTCCTTCTCTTTATGTCAAAGTGTTCTTTAGCATCATCTAGCATGTGAAGTAATTAATTCTTAGTTGGTTCATCATCATCACTATCACTTTTATTTTTATTTTCATTATCATGTTCCTCATCACTTCCATCATCACAAGTTTATACCTTAGTGGCCTTACATATGAAGCATGATGGAGTGTCGAAGAGAGAAGGCTTCTCATTGATAGCAATACTTGCAAGTGCCTTCTTCTTGATGGTCTTGTCATTATCACTATCATCATCATCACTTGAGGAAGCATCACTATCCCAAGTGACTACATCTGAACCACCATTTTTCTTCTTCTTGAAGGTCATTTTGTCTTTCTTCTCTTTCTTTTCCTTCTTATCTTTCTTCTTGTTGTTCTTGTTGTCATCACTCTTGTCGCTATTGTATGGGCATTGAGCAACAAGAAGATCCTTACTTTCACAATTGAAGCACCTTCTTGACTGTTTCTTGTTCTTGGATGAAGACTTCTTTCTTCTAGCACGATAGCCTTTCTTCATCATGAACTTGCCAAATCTTTTGACAAAGAGAGTCATCTTCTCATCATCCATCTCATCAAAGTTCAAGTCTTCATCTTCACTTGATGATTCTTACTTTGCCTTGCCCTTGGATGATGTGGCCTTGAATGCCACACTCTTCTTCTTCTCATCTTTCTTCTCATCTTTCTTCTCCTTCTTTTCTTTCTTCTTATCATCATCTCTATATGTATCATCGGTCATTATATCTTACAACACTTGGTTTGGTGTCATGGTGTCCAAACCACTCCTCACTAGAATAGTGACCATCGTGCCAAATCTTGAAGGTAAGCATCTCAAGAACTTGTGGGAGAAGTCCTTGTGCTTCACCTCTTCTCCAAGTACTTTGAGATCATTGAAAAGCACTTGAAGCCTATGGAACATATCCGGCACACTTTCATCCTCCTTCATATTGAAGCTTGTAAACTTCTCCTTGAGAATGTATGCCTTTGCACCCTTCACGGCTTGAGTGCCCTCAAATGATTTCTCCAACTTCTTCCATGCTTCATGAGCCATCTCAATGTTCTTAATTTGCTCAAATGTTCTCTCATCAATAGCATTATGAATGGCACTAAGAGTAATGTCATTGTTTTGAAGATGCACTTCTTCGGCGGTGGTGGGATTCTCTGGATCTTCTATTTCAATCTTGGTCTCCCCCACTCTCCAAACCTTTCTATTGATTCACTTGATATATGTTGTCATCTTAGCCTTTCAATAGGGATAGTTTGAGCCATCAAATTGGGGTGGCTTCTTGGTGTTGTTGATTTGAGCTATTTTTACACCGAAGGTTGTTAAGCCTTAAATCACGGTGACCTCAGCTCTGATACCACTTGAAAGGTCCTAATGGCTAGAGGGGGTGAATAGCCTATTAAAAATTTCTACAACAACACTTAGCAAACCGATTAGACAAATATGAGGCGAAGCGAGTGTTGCGCAAGCCTACTAAAAATGCAAGCCACCTACCACAATTCTAGTTTTTATAGTCTCTATCCACACAATGGCTATGTCACTACACTAAGTTAGTGTGCTCTCAAAGGCTAACTAAAGAGCCGCACTAACCAAACTAACAAGCTCTTATGACTAGCTACACTAAAGAGCTTGACAACTAGTTTGCGATAATGTAAAGAGAGAGAGAGCAAGATGGTTATACCGTCGAGTCGAGGAAAGAACCAATCAATCACAAGAATAAATACCAATGAAGACTAATCACCTCGGAATCAAATGATGACACAATGATTATTACCGAGGTTCATTTGCTTGTCGGTAAGTTAGTCCTCGTTGTGACGGTTCACTCACTTGGAGGTTCACGCACTAATTGGCATCACACG